TGCTGTAGTACCTGGTACTGGTGTACTTTGTCCTTCGATTTTTTATTTTTTTTGTGGGAATGTATATGTGTTTGTCTTTCGCCCCCCGTCTTGCTGCACCCCCTGGGGTGTGGTGCAGGGCGGGGGATGCCTGGTCGGCGGGAACCCGGCACGGAACCCTCCGGCGTTGTAGGCGGGTGTGGGAAGCGTTCCCCGTTCTCCTTTTATTTTATTTTGATCGGTCTCCTCGACGCTCTTTCTCGTTTGGTGCGGTAGCTGGTCTTTCTNTTGTTTCTCTTCCAAGTGGTTTTTGTACCCTATTTTTTTCTGTCTCTTCGTGGGGTCGTGTATGCCGGGTTTTGAGACCACGGGCTCCCAATCTTTTTTTTTTTAGAGCTAACGTGAGAAACAACAACAACCCCTGCGAAAACAATTCAAGTTTTTCCGGTTTTGCGCCGGTAAAAAGTCAAGAAAAAAATAAAAATAAAATAACTCTCCGTCATGCGTCACGCGATGCGCCTGCAATTTGCAGGCGCACCTGCAAACAGGGCGTTTTCCGGTACTTTCAGATTTCGGAACAACCACCTGTGGGCAGAGAAAAGTTGTCATTTGTGCTGGGAAAAAATTGGATTTTTTGGTGTGCACGGACTATATACGATTTACCATTCTCGGAACAGAGAGCGGGGGCTGGGGAGTAAAATAACCTTAGATAACATGAATCATCAACAGACCGTAACATAGCAACTGAAGGAATGCATGCATGCACGATGATGGCCTAGTCGGGATGAGAAATCGTTTGCAACACGCCTTGGATAATGACTTGTAGAAAGATGATGTACCCATACCCCCCAACTGATGACTATTACCTAGGTTTTGAGGCAGGCAGCACTATCGGAGTTACCATTCGCAGTCTGCTCCTCCTCGCTCGCTCGACGGGGGCCCACGTCCCAATTAAATTGCACGGGGCGCTCGCAACTCTCCCCGACGACTCGCGTCCGTCTCTACACCACAAAGAGTAAAAAAATCCGTTTCCGGAAGCGCGAAGAAAGCCGCAGGCCCACAATCGGGCAACCTGTAAGCTTTTAATCAGATCATCACCGCCACACCCGCAAGCCGCGATTTACCACACGCATCAATCAGAGTGGGACGCTGCGCGGTGGAACCACAACCGTGGGGATGGATGTCAACTTGTTTCTCGGGGGGAATGCTTTTTTGGGAGTCAGAACAAGACCGTAACGGGGGTCAGTTTCAGGGCACGTTCTACAAGCAAATAAACTGACTCTTCACATCCCGAATTTCTTACGAACCTATGGTTGTTTGTGTTGTGCACCAACAGCAGCACGCTATTACCTGGAGAAGGCCGTGCGACGACAACAAAGGGTACTTTATTGCCCGACCGCCCCAGAACGACGAACGAACGGATGCCACTCTCTGCTCTGCTCTGTTTGATTCAGTGCGGTCGACATGCTACGTGATACTTCTAAATACTCCCCAACGAAACCTATGGCCCTCGGCCGGGCGATCCCCCCCCCCCCCCCCCCCCCCCCCCCCCCCCCCCCCCCCCCCCCNCCCCCACCAACCTTCCCGGCGGCGCCATGTGTTGCTTGGGCCGGAATCACTCTCGGAACTTCACCACAACCGAAGCAATCAGTTTTTGGGGGGAGTTCAAAAGTTTTCCTTCATGCTTATCTGTTTGTCGCTCGTCCCATGACGCATACTGAAAACACTATTACTAATGGCCACCGCTGGCTAAGCGTCATGATTGTAGTCGAAACAAAGAACATCCCGAAACAACATTAAAGACCCACAGCATTACATACGTCACACCAACACAATAAAAAACAAAAAAACTGAAAATCATCCAACCGCCCAAAAAAAACGTCCAATTCTCTCCCACACCCAGTACTCTCCAATGAACCAAAATCGACAGACCGGATAACTCCAACGGTAACAACCGAACTACTGTACGCGAGCAGACAGGCACTGTGACCGCGGCCAAACTACACTACATACGCCGAAGGCAACACGCGTTCGGCAGCACATGTGGAAAGAACACCACAAATCACAAGGAGGAAATTTCAACGTAGACTGTCACACCACGCCAGACAGGGTTGTACTTCCCACGAGCCCCCCTCCACATTGACGTCGCTGTTTCCCCTCGCCCGCATCCGGCACCCCTACCTTCCACTATCCATGGCAGCATTAGCACCCGAAGTGTCCATACCAGAAGCAGCAGGGTCGGCAGAGGCAAACCCCTCAAACCCCTCCCCTTCTGAAAGGCGTGGGCGCTTCTCACCTCTCCTCGCTCCCTCGGGGGACGCACCGTTAACAACCCCCCCCCCGCCTTGTGTTGGAATCCTTACTGACAAGTGATTGCTAGCGTAGACCGACCCTGGTTGCGCATCACCGCCGGCTTTTGAAGCAGCAACGCCTCCGGACCCAGGCGGCTCCGTCGCGCACATGGCGGCCGTTGCCTGCTCGCTATCAACCATCGGTAAGCGGTTGAACGCTGGTGCGATCGACGTCGCTGTTGTAGAAGAGTTGGCTCCCGACCCCCGCCCTCCCCCCTCCTGGCCCGCGATACCGCGCACTCCGCCAGCCTCAACCCCCCCCGCTGTCCCACCGCTAGCTCTACCGCCCCCCCTTCCCTCCTCACCCTGCATTCCACCCGCCCGCCCGCCCTCCATACGCTGCCCCGACTGCGGCGCAACAGACGCCCCCCCGACAACATCACCCCCAACGCCGCCGCCGCCCTCCCCACTCTCAGCAACACTACCAACACCAACACTACCACCCCAGTCTCTCCGGCCAGCACCTCTTGGCTCCTCCGAAGCCGCTTGCACAGCACCAGAGCCCGCGGCAGCAGCCGTACCTCCCATCCTCGCTTGATCTTCGGCAGGAGTCAAGCGAGCAGCAGAGGAGCCCCGCGGTGACCTCGGCCGCTCCACCTTCCTCTCGTCGATGCTCAACATCCACCGCGGCGCGTTCGGCCCAAGGGCCGTCATGGCCCGCGCGGCCTCCTCCCCTACCACCGGAGCCCCCGCCGCCGCTGCGTCCCTCGCGCCCTTGTTCCCCAGCGAGGGCGCTGACCCCGCGGCAGCCGTCGGAGCGCCACCGTTCCCGCTCGCGGCGGCGGCGGCGGCGGCCGCGGCGGCGGCGGCCGCGGCGGCGGCGGNGGACGGCCGACGTCCGGTCTCTCCCTGCACTGATGCCACCGCCGTGCGGCTGATGGTGCAGTCTGTCGTGAGCGGCGACAGGGGCAGCCGCCGTGTGAAGCAGCGACGGTGGTCGTTCACCGCTATTCCCCGTGCCGCCGCGGTGGTGATGGTGATGGATACTACTCCCGTCCGATTCACCGGCGGCGTGGTTGTAGTAGGCGCGGCCCTCTGCCTGCGCCGCCAACGACGGGTGCATCTCTGCGGACCCCGACCGCTGATGCTCGTAGCTCTCGTAGTGATGTCGCTGGGGCTGGGCCGACTGCTCCTGGCAGAGAAAAAGACCGGTCAACAATCGTACCACAGCGCAAAAACAGTTGGGGGGTTGAGTAGAGCTGTCAAGACCAAGGTCGTGTTGTACCGCCACAAAAATCAGCAACATTCGCTTGCTGCGAAACACAACCGCGCCAGAAACGCAGCATTGTATTCCACACAAAACATCTTCACGTACAATGATACCAAGAGACAGAACAAGAACATCAAGGAAAAAAAACGCACCTGCCGGGCATGGAACGCCCCAAACCCCGTTGCCCCCGCGTCGCGCCCACCGCCGCCGCCGGCTCCGCCGCCGCCTCCACTTTCCACCTTCGTGCTCCCCCTGCTGTCTCCCCCGCGCGACCTCAGCACCGCGTCTGCAAACGGCAACAGCGACGGAAGCTGCGTCGTCGTTGGCGGCGGAGCCGGGCCCCGAGAATGATGTTGCGGCGCCCCCGCGCTCCCGCTCCCGCTCCCGCTCCCGCTCCCGCTCCCGCTCCCGCTCGTGCCCAAGCTCCCAGCCCCTCCAGCCAGATGGCGGCCACGCTGCTGGTGCTGATCGTGGAGGTGATGCATGTTCGCCCCCCCGCCTCCCGCCGCCGCCGCCGCCGCCGCAGCAGCAGCAGCAGCAGAAGAGGGTGGCAACACCGGCCCGTCGCTAGCCTGGATGCTGCTGGAAGCGGCGGCGGCGAGTCCCAAGAGGTGCAGAGGAGAGGCCACACTCTCCGTTACAACGGCGGCGGCGGCGGCGGAGGCGGCCGCGTCAGGGTCCGCTGCCGCGCTGCTCACGGCGTTCGACCCCGCCGCCGGAGGGGGGAAACGCCGCGAAGAGCCCGGCTGGCCTACGGGGCCGGTGCGGGGAGAGCCGCTGGGGCCGACGTTGCTCCCGGCGAAGGAGGCTGAGGCTGAGGAGCTGGTAGCAGCAGCGCCCCCAAGTGTTGGCGCCGCGGCGGTTTCACGCTGTTGGTGGTTGTGGGGGTGGTGGTCTCCGTAAAATTGCCTGCAGAACAGAGGAAGGGGGGGAGGTCGCAAGGCAAGGTGGTGGTAAGGCGAAAGTGTACAACGAAACAAATCGGAGCCTGCAACCATTGTCTGTGCGTCACCCCCCCGGCACGTCATCGGGCGAGTCGTGGTCAGCTGCGCTCGATTTCGATTCCTCAACTCTTGACTACCGTGGTGCAAGCGGAACCGTGTGGGTCGTTGAACGCGATTGGTGACTGCCTGGCTTGTGCTCGCACCTTAGAGACCCGCCCTCTCCCTCGCCCACTGGCGATGACCTGTCTCCGCGTACGCTTTCGCTCGCGCTCGCATCACGTTCACGCCATCTTCCTTGCTGCCGCTGCTGCTGCTGCTGCTGCTGCTGCTGCTGCTGCTGTTGTAAGCGGGCCAAGAGGTGGGAAGGACGATACATGCGTACGCGTTAGCACTACGCCCGTGGGCTGGCCCGCCATTTCCAGCTGCAGCTGCTCGTACGAGTAGAAAAATAGCACGGTTGTTCTTGGCGGTGTTCTTGGTACCCCGCCTTACGCTAAATGGACGCTTTCGCCAAAGGAATGTAGACGCGTTGCACCCCCCAAAAAAAGCTTCATGCTACTACTGTACGATGGTACATTAAAACAAAAGGAATCAAAAGTCAAAGAGAGTTTTAAGCGCACGAAGCATCTGCAAACTCGCCCTCAAACCTACGTGGGATAACAGAAAATCAAACGAATCACCTGAGGGTTGACGCCATCCATAGCCCCACTGTCGTGAGAAACGTGCATCGGTGACAAGGACCGCTGCTGTTGCTGCTGTTGCTGCTGCTGCTGCTGTGCCCACGACAGCTCCCCCCCGCCCTCTTCAGGCGCTACCAAGTGCTGCTCTGGTCCTCCCCCGTCCCCAGCCCGACCCGAAGAGGCCTTGTCTGGAAACCCTTGGCTTACAGCGGCGATGACGGCAGATTTTTCTCGCTCCGACTCCACGCTGTTCACATGGCGGCCGGCCGCGGCAAGGGCTGCTACGTGCGGTAGTCCCTGCTCCTACGGTACACATGAGGCACCACACAAGCTTACCATTCAGAGAATATCCGGAAAGAGTGTCGCTAAAAAAAAAAGGAAAAAAATCCGACGTGTCCTCTTGCTCGTGTATGTGCCTGAAAGGATGATTAGTTTCCGGTAACAGAAAGTAAAATAATTCTAGGCATACTCCCTTGTTGAGATGCGCGCCCGCAAGTTCGTGGGGCCGCGACAACAAAGCACGTGCAGCAACGACAACGACATAGACGGACCGCAATGGGTAGGCGGTCGCTGCGGAACTACCGTAGCAACGGCAACACCCCGCAAAACACAAACTTTGTTGAGCCAGCCAAGATCCGCATCTTCACGCCGTTCTGTTTACCTGCTGCATGTGGGGGTGCTGGAACAGGGAGGGCGGGGGCGCGAAGCCGGCGAACAGGTGCTGCTGCTGGGGGTGGTGGTGACCTGGGTACGCGCCGTGGTGAAGAGGGCCTGAGGCACACAGCAGCAGCGTGTCGCCAGAGCACAACAGCAGTCGGGTCGTCATCGAGAGACGAAGAACAACGCACAAGAGACTACCGACATTGCCAAGTCTCGTAAGCGCCATTCCTCTCGACTGGGCCCCTCTGGCTGGGAAACCCAAGCCCCGACGCGTGAGGGGTCATAACACTGTTACCGGACAGTGGTCACACGCAACATCAAAGCCACAACCTCCGAAACACAAACACAAACGAGGCCTGTGCCTTGTTCTCTGCATTGTACGTTGGTGGACGACAACGATCCGGGACAAAACGCCGCAAGCGTGCCAACGTGCCAAGGTGACCATGATCTCAACGTCGAACGCACCCGTCATGCACAGACGACAACAAAAATACGTGAGCACACTGCCGTCATCACACAAGGACATACGGCATTGTCGGCTACAAAACAGCACGGCGTTCCATAAAAAAGCGCTGAACGCAAACACGGCATTATGTACGGTTTCGCGAATATCCTAGATAAATAACCTTGACCCGCCATCGCACCATGGTGGTGGTGGGCCATACCATAGGCCATCATGCTCCCGTAGTACTCCTCCGGCGATGTACCTCCCGCCCCTCCCGCCCCCCCTCCAGCCGCCGCCGCCGCCGCCGCCGCCGCCGTCGCTCTGTACTGGCCTCCAGGCCCTTCCTCGTAGTCTCCTCCTCTGGGCGAACCACCGCTTCCTTCACGATGGTGCCGCTGTTGAGAAAGTCGGCCATGGTGCTGCTGCTGGGGGTGACGCATGCCAGTAGCGGCGGCGGCAGCGGCGGCAGCGGCGGCAGCTCCCCCGCCCACGTCGCGACCACCCCTGAACTGCTGATGTTGCTGCTGCTGCTGCTGCTGCTGCTGCGGGGTTCGCGGCGGGTGAAGATGAGGGGAGGCGTGATGCTGTCGCTGGTGGGGGGGCATGAAGTTGGCCCATGGTCCTCTATGCACGGCGGCGGCAGCCGCTGCCGCCGCCGCTGCCGCCGCCGCCGCTCCGAAGCCCCCCCCTCCGCTACCGCTGTTTCCGCCACTGCCGCCGCCACCTCCACCGGCACTACCGCACTGCGACGCTCCAGGTATGTGCACCATGCTCATGTGCCCGTACGGCATCCTGTGCAGAGCTTCGGGGGACATCCGCCGCATGTCTGGGCCATGCACGTCTTGCTGCTGCTGTTGCGGCTGTGTTTGCTGCTGCCTGGCCATGTGCATTTGCTGGAAAAAAGCGTCCGCCCCCCTCGCTTGCTGTTGCTGCTGTTGCTGCTGGTGCTGATGCTGTTGCTGCTGCAGCTGCTGCTGTTGCTGCTGTTGCTGCTGGTGAGCCGCGGTGGCCGCTGCGGCAATCGCCGAGACCTCGGCCATCTGCCTGTCCCTCCGATTTAGGTTGTCCTTCCGGACCGTGATCGCCTCAGCCTCGAGCAGGTTCTTGTTCTTCGAGTTCGTGTAGAACGTCTTGACCTGCGTGGGCGTCTTGGTGTGGATCAGCTCGGCGTACCGCTCCCACTCCTTGTTCCCGGGCCGCGCGTCGTGGATGCTAAAGAACGCCTCCCTCTCCTCCACTGTCCACTTAGCTCCCTTCGTGGAGGGCGGCCTCTGCTGCGCCCCGGCGGCCGACCCCGGCGTGCTCCCCCCGGCCCCCCCGTCCTCCTGCCCGCCGGTCGCCGACTTCCTCCTGGACAGCCCCCGCTTCCCCTTACCCGCCCTGCCGCCCCCTCCTTCCTCTCCCGGTGACATCCCGCCCCTCCGACCCAACCCCCGGCCCGCCCCGCCCAGGGCATCCCCGAACTCGTCGTCGTCATCGTCGTTGGCCTCCTCCCCGACGGCCCGTGCTGCCGCTGCCGCCAGATACGCCGATGATGATTGCGACCCTGGCCCGCCCATCCGCCTCCCTCCTCTGCCCCCTCTGCCCCCATCGTGCAAAGCGCGGACGCCGCCGCCACTGAGACGATCGGGTTCGTAGGGAGCGTCGACGTCATCCCCGGTGACGTCCCCCGCCGCCGCGGCCGCGGCCGCAGAAGCCGAGCGTGGCGGCGCCAGCTCATCGGGAACGCCGGTAACCCTGGCATCCGAGAATCGGTACGGCATGATCGCGCCCTCGTTGAACCTCCCGGCGCCGGACCCCGCCCCGCCCGCGGCCGCGGCGACATCCAGGGCGGCGTAGATGATGCCTCCGTCGCCGTCGCCATCGCAGTCGCCGGGCGGCGGGAACGACCGCATGCACAGGCGGTAAGCCGCCACGTTGATCGCCGGCGGCGGCAGGCGGGCGGCCGCGGCCTGCACCTCCGCGGGGCTCAGCAGGTCCAAGCCCTCTGTCGCCAGCGACTCCTGGTGCTGTTGCGGGATACCTGCCGCCGCCACGGCACGGCGCAGCAGCGCCTCGGAGACCTGCGTCTTGGCCGCCGCCGCGGCCGCCCCAACGATCTCCCCGGAGCAGGCAAGGGACAGGGCCTCGCGCTGAATGTCAAGCAGCGGGCGGGTCCTCGAGGGCGGGTGCATGTCGGCCGTCGCGAAGGAGTCGTCCCGCTGAGGCACCGGGAAGAAAGGCTGGCCGTCCTCGTCGATGGACACCTTGGCGCCGACGCTGCGGATCGCCTTGAAGGTGGCGTTCCACTGCCCGGCGTAGCCCTGGGTTTGGAGGGTGCGGTTACGTCGTGTGCTTGTTTCTTAATTCGAACGCGCTCACCGGCGGACCAATGACAAGATGGCAGTCTCACGAGCTGACAAACGACGAGACGTCAGTCTCAGTGCCGCTTGAACAGAGAAAATGCTTCCAAAGGGATCTGTGTGTGTGTGGGCGGGCGGGGTAGTACCACACCAGAAGGAGAGCAACGGCAGCCATGGCCCATGGACCGGTTGAACAACATCAACCGCGGCGACGCTTGCTTGATGGTACGCGTGAGGGCGGCGTCATGGTTTATATTCCTGTGTGCATGCTCGACTTCTTTTCCGGCGACACGAACTTCGCGCGCGCGCTGCAGGCGATTCGCAAGCCTCAAGCAACCGCTCACAGCCTATTGTGGACAGGGACTGACCGCATCATCGCCCCGCCAAGAGCAAAGCCTGGCGGGGGAAAGACGATTTACCTCTCAGCATCCTAAACACGGAGCAGCAGCACATGACCGCCACTACACTACCATAATAACAATAATAAAAATATTTTAGCCATAGAGTCCAAACAAAGGCAGAGCAGCAACCACCACCACCTACAAAAAAAACAGCCACGCAGAAGGGGGTTCGTCGACTGACCTTGTTGCGGTTGACGGCCTCCTTCAGCAGGGTCTTGTAATCGATCGACGTCTTGCTGTCGTAGTAGAACTGAACCACGTCCTCGGGCGACTTCCTGGGCAAGAACGAGGCTATCCGCATAAAGTTCTTCGGGTGGTGCAGGAACTTGTCCAGGAAGATGCACTTCTCCACGTCCGTCCAGAGGTTCAACAGCTTCCGCTCGGCCTCGACCGCCGCGGGGCAGTTGCACCCTGCCGGGCACGCCGCGTCCGCGGGGAGACCGCGGCATCTCGCCGGGAGCGCGTCAGTCGTGCCCCTCGAGTTCCACGAGTCCCGATACTCCGGCAGCTGCCGCCGCTCCACCGCGGTCAGCATGGACGGCACCTCCACGGCCCCCTTGCGAATGCGCTCCTCCTCCTTGTGCTTGTCCTCGAACTTCTTCACCACCTCGGCCTCTTCGTAGTCCGAGCGGACCACGTCGCTAAGCCGCCGCCCCCCCCTGCGCTCGCTCCTGAGGCTGGCGCCATGGCCTCCTCCTCCTCCGCCGCCGCCGCTGCCGCCACCGCCGCCGCCGCAACCGCCGCTTGGCCCCCACGCCGCGTCCCCGTCGTCGCCCTCTCCGGCGCCGCCGGACGCGGCGGCGGCTTCCTTAGCCTCCTCCTCCTCCATCTTCTCCTCCCAGCGGAGCATGTCCACGTGCCAGGCGTTGTGGAGGCCCGCGTACTCGTCGCCGAGCTTCTCCCAGCGCCGCCGAAGCTCCAGCTGCCGCCGCCGGATGGCCCGGGTCATCACGGGCTTCAGCTCCCGAAGGCGCGCCGCGTGGATCTCTGACGTGCTCCACGCCGCCACCGCGGCCGTCGTTCCCGCCGCCGCCGCCGCTGCCGTCCCAAGGGCCGAAGCTTGCGCTGCTGCTGCTGCTGCTGCTGCTTCACCCGACAACGATGGCGACGTGTTCCGCGGCAGCCCCAGCAATCGTTCATCTAACTCGGCTTGCGCCGCGACAGCTCTCGCCTGGTTCTCCCGCATGACCCTGGCGATCGCCACGTCGCGGCCGGACTTGGGGACGCCCCCCGGCGCCGCGTCCACCCGGGCGCGGAAGAGGTGGGACACCGGCGCGCCGGTGGGTACCCGAGTGCGGAGGCCGCTCGGCCCTTTCCTGGCGGCAGCGGCAGCGGCCGCGGCTTTGGAGCCGGGTGATGCCCCTGCGCGTTCAGTCGCCACGACGGCAGGCGGTGACTGAGACGGTCCGGGAAGACCTTTGGCTGATGCTTCGTCTGGCCCGCCATGCTCACTACGTGCCGTCACCGCCACCGGCGCTGCTCCCGCCGCTTTCCCTACAGGAGGGCCTGGGGTGCCGCCGACGACCAGCGTGGCCGCGGCAGCAGCTGCGTTCTCCAGCTCTCCCTTGTGTCTCCGGCGAGCCACCCGGAACTCCACGGACGCTCTCGCCTGCCGGACGAGGTCCACGTGTGGAGGAGAGAAGCCATTCCTGCCCTCGTGGTCCAACCCGACACCGCCGCCGCCGGCGACCGCCGGCTGGTTGCTGCCGCCGCCTTCACCCCGTTTGCCGTCGCCTTCCGCGAGCCCCAACGCCGTCGCCAGCTCCGCTGGGAGGGCAGCAACCGCGGTCGCTGCGGCGGCCGCGACGGCAGGCGTGAGGGTTCCGCCGTCGTCGTTGGCGCTGCTGCTGCTAGGGATGATCTCCTCCGTGCCAGGGTTGTTCGCTTCCCGGCTGCTCTTTGCTTGCGAGGAGCTCGCGTCTGGGACGACTAGAGCCTTCTCCGCCTCTACCGCCGGTGTACTTGCGGCAGTAGCAGCAGCTATCCTGCCTTCCTCCAGACAAGCCTCTAGGTCGCGCAGGGCGGCAAGCGTCCGCCGCTCCTCGACCTCCGTTCCGGACGTGAGCCGCCGGAGCTCCTTTCTCGATGGATGGCACTGCCGCGCTGCTGCATTGCTGGTCTCCTTCGCGCGGCCGCCGCCTGCACCTCCTGCTCCGCCGGCGGCCGCTCCGGCCGCTGCTGTCGTCGGAGCGCTACCGCCAACTGCAGCCTTCGCTTGCCCGTCCTTCGAGGTGGGGGCCACCGGCGGCACCTTGGGCGTCTTCACTCCCGAATCCGCGGCATCGGCGCTACGACGGGGGCGTCTTTCCCTGCCGTGGTGACCGCCGTTTGGTGCTGAAACCCTGCCACCCCCCCCACGCCTCGCAGGTTCCTCCCCCGCTCGCTTCAGGTCGCCGTCGACCATGGGATGGTCCTCGCTGCCCCCAGTGCCGCCACTCCCTTCGCTCTTGTTGTTGCGCCGCTCCGACATGTGCATCAGCCGCTCCGGTTCTCCCCGGCGCTGATCTTTCGAGGTCCCGCCGGCCGTTGTCGCAGCGGTGGCGGCGGCGGCGGGTCCGTCTTTCTCGTGCTTCCGTGGGCACGGTGCCGGAGGATGCGGGGTTTTCGGGGATCCACCTGCTGCTGCTGACGCTGGTGCTTGTGCTGTTGTTCCTATTGAAAAAAACAAACGAAACAAACGACGAACGAGCCGCTACACACTAAACACACAACAGATGATTGGTCAAAAGGATCGTTCAGCGTCCTTGAACCGGTTGGTTCGAGCGTTCAATAGTCTAGAATGGGCACCACTGTTTTGGGGCCCAAGGGGTCGGGGATTTATCCTTATCTTCCATGCCGACGGCATTCGAGAAGAGCTGCAACCATCTCTCCCAACTTCCGTTTCCCGTCCCTGCATCAAGGGACGATCAACAACTAGGACCGCTGCAACTTGTCTGGCGGGTGGCCAGATGCTTACCCGCTTCACGTGGAGAAAACAGTAAACCCAGACTGGGTAGACGCAACGGTCCTGGCGTTGGACCAGACTTGGATGTCCCACATCAGCAGCGATGGGATCGAAACAATGCCTCCGGTCGGCATGTCATTCCATACAAATATAGATGATCAAAAGCGGTCGATCCTAATACAAAAGTCACACACACATACACTGACCGGTCTTGTTCGGGAAGCCCTCCACGATCCCATCGCTCGACGAACGCTTCTGCGGCCCTGGCGCAAACCCTTCCTTAACTTTCTTGCCGGAATCAGAGCCCGCTCGCTTCATCCGCTGTTGCTCCTTCCCTCCCCCCCCGCGCCCCCCCACCCTAACCTCCCCGCTGCCTCTTTCCTGCCGTCTGCTACTGCCGCCACCGCCGCCGCCGCCGTCGACAGCACTGTTCGCCGCGTTGCCACACTCATTCATGGCCTTTCGAGCGCCGCCGGTGGTGGCATCAGCCGAGGGCGGCGTTGACGACGATATTGTCCGCGGAGAGACACCTGCCGCGGGGGGCGACAAGGCGGGCGATTTTGCCGTTCCGTTACTGCCACCACTGGCAAAGTCTTCAACTCGCGGCTGCTGCGGCGGCCTCCGCTTCAAGCTTCCAGCGCTACCCGCACTCGCCGCCGCCACGCCGCCTTCCTTCTTCCGCCGGCCCACTGCTTCGACGGGCGTCTTCGGCGGTGCTCCCGTCGCCACCGGCGCTGGCGGGCTTGCCGCTGCCGTCTGATCAAATCCGCTGCTGGAAGTCGAGGGTGGCAAAGACGTAGCAGCAGCGCCGTCGGCGGATGCGCCTCTGGCACTCGAGTCTTCTTCCCCAGCAGAAGCAGCAGCAGTGGCAGGCTTTTTCGAAGCAGCAAACTTTTTAACAGCGCCGTCTTGCGCAGCACCGGCGGTGGCAGCATCGCCGACTTGAAACGTTGCGTTGCTCTGGTCGGCAGAAGCAACCTCTGGCGCCTTCGGCGGTGCCGCCGCCGTCGCCGCCGCAGCAACAGTCTCCTCCGCCGCCTTCTTTGCAGCGGCGGCCTCGTCGGCCTCCGCCTTCTCCGCTGCCGCCTTTTCGGCCGCTAGCGCTGCTGCCGCTTCCGTGGCCTTCTCGTCCGCCGACAGCTTGGACCCGATACCCATGCCCCAGTCTAGCCTCCTGGAGCCCTGCTCAAGACACGAACAAAACCCACCGCGATATAAGAACGGGCACTGACATTTACCATCACTTGTCGTGAGGCTCTGCACCATTGGCCACGTATCGCGTCGGGGCACCACCCTTCTCTTCATAGAGAGATAAAAGTCAGCAAGCTTCCGCCCCAATGTACTTGAGGAAATATTCCTCGTCTTCTCCCGTACTTTCCGCGTTCGGGTGGCGGCCTCCTACGGCAGTGACTCCTGGAAAGCATGTTATCCTTCTTGTTTCGAAAGTACGTAATCCATTTAATGACACGGGACGTGTGCGCGTGTTTTGCAATACCACTCCGGCCTCATGAGAAGGGCAATACCGCAGTACTCACAAGATCCCTGGCACACCGGGCATACGCGGGACAAATCCGTGGAGGTGAGGACAACTCGCATCAAGCGTTGAAACAAAAAACAACAACGGCACACCACGAAAACAAGGAGGTCGAACAACAACGAGACACGACCAAAAAACGGTGTTGCCACTTACCCTCTTGTGCAGAGTAGGCGGTTGGGCGGGTGCCGCGTCCGCTGTTCCACCGCCCACCGCCGCTGGTGCCGGAGTCCCCGGCGATTCTCCAGCTAACACCGCTGCCGCGGACGTCGTCTGGGGGGAGGACGTCGCCTGTTTCGGTTTGAGAGAGAAAAAGAAACAGAGTATGTATAACGACATGACCACATCGGCCAGCCTCCGCTTTACTACAGTAGCTCAAGGTCAACGCAAACCCTCCGTGCGAAAATACAGACTCGTCGTTGGCGGCGGCTCTGCTTGGAGTAGCGTAACGTCGGTGGCGGGGGTGTTTTCAACTCTCGGAGGCGAAAGCAAATAACGACCGCCAGAGACGATGTTGCGAGCCAGCGAAAGAGGGGGTCACGCTACTACGCTCCCAGCGCTTCATTTTCCAACAGCAAGCTCAATCCCTCGCATGCACGACCCTCCTCGTTCACCGACCGAAAACATTCACATCACCTCCGCGGAATAAGAGGGCACGAAGCCCGCAGAAACGGCTCCCATGCCCCAGTCCAAGCGGGGTTTACCGACCGCAGTGGCAGGCGTCGAGCCGCCAGCGCCGACCACGGACGGGGTCGGTGGCGAACCCTTGGCGCCGCTTGTCGAAACAGCCTTCCCTCCTGCATTTTCCATCTCCGGGCAGGCGGCGTTTGCGACTCTTGACCATGCTGTGGCGGCGCACGGCACGAAAACGACGCGTAACGTACTATTGTAGTTCTGAGAGCGAGTGGGGGTGGGCCAACGCCACGCATGGAAAAAAGAACAACGAACCACAGGACAACTAATTCGTTTGAGAGAGGCAGAGATCGACAGATACCGGAGAGCGAGAGAGCGAGAGAGCGAGAGACAGACAGAGAGAGAACAACCACTTCCGTACGACAACAACAACAACAATGGCGCGACACAAAAAAACACACCCACACACACCAAAGCTGATCAATGAAGCAGGGCGACAGCAAGGCCAAAAAACATCCCCAAACCAGTCACAGAGCGACACGCACCTCCACCCGACGCTGCCGGCACCACCGCGGCACCCGTCGACATCTTGCTCCCGTTTGCTGATGACAACGCCGACGCTGCAGTCGAGTCCGCCGCTCCGGCAAACGAGGCTTGCGGCAGTACATAAGCGGGAATTCGCGAATCCAGCCCGTTCTTTGTTGAAGCGATTCCAGAGGCTCGCACGCTACCACCGACGTCCACGTCCGTCGGGTTCCCAGGCAAGGGGGCCGAGGAGGCTTTCGCGGTGGCGGAGGAGGAGGAGGAGGAGGAGGAGGAGGCGAACTTCCAGCTGAAGCTACCGCCGACGCCGAGCGCGCTGCCAGAGGGGGTCGTCGTCGTCCCTCCCACGGAAGAAGGGGAAGGGGCGGGGTTGCCATCGCTGCCTCCCAGGTCAAAAGCATCCGCGCCGTCCTTGAGGAATCGGGGAGGGGGGTAGGAGGGGGGTACTCATGTTTTGCATGCGGTTAGACCATTAACCACGCGTTCTCGAGAGGACGAAGAGGTTGGGGGGGCTTCTCAATTCGACGCTTCTCAGGTCGGGGATGACGCTGTTATTCAGGCGGTGGCCGCCGTCAACCGGAGCGTATGTCGCGTTGTCATCCTAAACCCGAGGGCGGTGTTCTAAGAAAACGGCCAATCTTGCCACCCTCTGTGTCAAAACGTCGCTGATAAGCAACAAGGGTATGCGCTCGATGAAAGGACGAAACTAGTACCGCAGGCGAGAAAAGGAAAACACGAAAAAAAACAAGGAACACTACTTCCGGTGGGTGTCCTGGGGGGGGGGGGGGGGGGGCGTACTCTTATGTTTTGCATGCCTTAGCGGTTAGACCATTGACCACACGTCCTCGAGAGGACGGAGCATTGTTCCCACAGGACCGATCACCGATGGCCAATCG